TACAGGTTGCCCACTGGCACTGCCAGGGAGTGACCACAGGGCTGTGGGCCTCCGCTGTCTTAAGCAGGTTGGGTTTCAAGCAGGAGGTCATCCTACTTGGTGTGGCCGCACTTGCTTTCGTGACATAGTTTTGGGGTCCAAGTGGGGGCGATCCTACGTTTTGGTGCCCAGCACTTGCCATGAATCTGGCTCGAATTTTTAAGCGAATTTCAGCTACCAAGTAGGGGTGATCCTACTTCTGGGCACTTGTTTTTTTTTTGCAAATTCAGCAGAATTGGAGGTTGTTGGGTCTGACTTCCCTCCAGGAGGCTGGGTTTCCAAGTAGAGGTGACGCTACTTGAAGGCCACAGGTTGCCCATCGACACTGCCAGGCAGTGACCAGAGGGTTGTGGGCCTCTGCTGTCTTAAGCAGGTTGGGTTCCACGCAGGAGGTAACCCTACTTGGTGTGGCCTTATTGCTTTAGTGGCATAGGTTTTGGGTCCAAGTGGGGGTAGTCCTACTTGAGGGTGCCCAACACCTGCTATGAAATCCTACTTCTGGCAACTGGATTCTTGCAATTTCCGCAGAGCTAAAGGCTGTTGATTTTGGCTGCCCCAAGCCAGCTAGGTCTCCAAGTCGAGGCACCGCTACTTGAGGCTCACAGGTTCCCCATCGACACTGCCAGGCAGTGACTACAGGGTTGTGGGCCTTTGCTGTCTTAAGCAGGTTGGGTTCCAAGCAGGAGGCAATCCTACTTGGTGTGGCCTTAATTGCTTTAGCGACATAGGGTCCTTCCAATTGGGGGTGATCCTACTGGTGGGTACCCAACACTTGCCATGAATATGGCTTGAAGTTCAACCGAATTTGAGTTTCCAAGTAGGGGTGATCCTACTTCTGGAAACATGGTTTGTTTTTGCAATTTCAACAGAGCTGGAGGCTGTTGGTTTTGACTGCCCCAAGCAGGCTGGGTTCCCAAGTAGAGGCAACGCTACTTGAGAAGCCCAGGTTGCCCATCGACCCTGCCAGGCAGTGACCACAGGGCTGTCTTGAGCAGGTTGGGTTCCAAGCAGGAGGCAATCCTACTTGGTGTGGCCCTAATTCCTTTAGCGACATAGGTTCGGCGTCCAAGTAGGGGTGATCCTACCTGAGGGTGCCCAGCTGTTGCCATGAATATGGCTTGAATTGTTTAAGCGAATTTCAGTTTCCAAATAGGGGTGATCCTACTTCTGGAAACTGGATTTTTGCAATTTCAGCAGAGCTGGGGGCTGTTGGTTTTGACTTCCCCAAGCAAGCTGGGTGGCGGCAGTGAGCACAGAGATGTGGGCCTCTGCTGTCTTAAGCAGGTTGGGTTTCAAGCAGGAGGTAATCCTGCTTGGCGTGACCTTATTGCTTTAGTGACATATGTTTTGGGCCCTAGTGGGGGTGATCCTACTCGCTGGTGCCCAACACTTGCCATGAATGTAGCGCCAGTTTTTAAGCGAATTTCGGTTTCCAAGTAGGGGTGTTCCTACTTCTGGAAACTTGGATTTTTGCGGTTTCAGCAGAGCTGGAGGCTATTGGTTCTGACTGCCCCCAGCAAGCTGGGTTTCTAAGTAGAGGTAGCGCTACTTGAGGATCACAGGTGGCCCATGGGCATTGCCAGGCAGTGACCACAGGGCTGTGGGCCTCTGCTGTCTTAAGCAGGTTGGGTTACAAGCAGGAGGCACTCCTGCTTGATGTAGCCCTACTTGCTTTTGTGACATAGGTTTGGGATCCGAGTGGGGTCAATCCTACGTGGTGGTACCCAACACCCGCCAGGAGCCTGGCTCGAAATTTTTAAGCGAATTTCAGCTCCCAAATACGGGTGCTCCTACTTCGGGACACCTGAGGTTCTGAGCATTCAGTAAACTGGAGGCTGTTGGTTTTTGACTTTTCCCGAGCAAGCTGGGTTTCCAAGTAGAGGTAACGCTACTTGAGGGTCACAGCTTGCCCACCGGCACTGCCAGGCAGTGACCACAGGGCTGTAAGCCTCTGCTGTCTCAAGCTGGTTGGGTTTCAAGCAGGAGGTAATCCTACTTAGTGTAGCCCTACTTGCTTTAGCGACATAAGTTCGGCATCCAAGTGGGGGTGATCCTACCTGAGGGTGCCTAGCAATTGCCATGAATATGGCTCGAATTTTCAGCGAATTTCAGTTTCCAAGTAGGGGTGATCCTACTTCTGGAAACTTGGATTTTGCAATCTCAGCAGCGTGGGCTGCTGTTGGTTTTGACTCCCCCAAGCAAGCTGGGTGTCGGCAGTGCGCTCACAGATATGGGCCTCTGCTGTCTCAAGCCGTTTGGGTTTCAAGCAGGAAATATTCTGCTTGGCTTCAGTGACGTAGGTTTGGGGTCCAAGTGAGGGTCCTACTCGTTGGCACCCGTTTTTTTTTCTTCTTTTTTTTTTACGTTCTCAGTAGAGCTGGAGGCTGTTGGTTTTGACTGCCCCAGCAAGCCAGGTTTCCAAGTAGAGGTAACGCTACTTGAGGTTCACAGGTTGCCCATGGGCATTGCCAGGCAGTGCCCACAGGGCTGTGGGCTTAAGCTGGTTGGGTTTCAAGGAGGAGATGATCCTGCTTGGTGTGGCCTTATTGCCTTAGTGATTCAGGTTTGGAGTCCAAGTGGGGGTCATCCTACTTGCTGGCACCCGTGTTTGCGTTTTCAGCAGAACTGGAGGCTGTTAGTTTTGCCTGCCCCAGCAAGCCAGGTTCCAAGTAGAGGTAACGCTACTTGAGGTTCACAGGTTGCCCATGATCATTGCCAGGCAGTGGCCACAAGGCTGTAGGCCTCTGCTGTCGTAAGCAGGTTGGGTTTCAAGCCGGAGGCAATCCTACTTGATGTGGCCTTACTTGCTTTTGTGACATAGGTTTGGGGCCCACGTGGGGGCGATCCTACGTGGTGGTGCCTTCCACTTGCCATGAATCTGGCTCGAACTTTTAAGCGAATTTCAGCTTCCAAGTAGGGTGCTCTTACTTCGGGAAACTTGAGGAGCAGGGCATCTATGGGCGAGTTGGCTATGGTGACCTTATGGCAGTGAAGGCTTGCCAGGACGAGAGTGTCACCAGCTTGACTTCAGAGATTGAAGAATGCTTCGAGGTGATCGAAGCAGTGATGCGTTTCGAGCCAAAACGTGAATTTACAGTTTTGTTGCTACCAATTGCGAAGAACTACAATTCCTGTGGCAGCCTGCAGAGACCCACATTGCGCAGTTGGAGCTCTCCATGGTAATTTACACCTTGAGTGAGAGCCCTGGCCTTCTCCGCCATCGACACGGTCTATGGTTCCTCGACGCTGTGGCTGCAGTCATGACCTTAGTGAGGGGACGTTCTAGCAATTCGGACCTAGCAAAGCTAGGCCATCTGATTCCTTTGGCCCTCTTCGCACTGCGTGCCCAGGGCTACTGGGAGTACGTCCAGAGCAAGAGCAACTGGGCCGACGACTTGGTGGCGCTGCCATGGATCTAGCTTTCATTCGTCGTACCTCCCCACAATCTTTTTCCAGTTGCCATTCGTTGCAGTCATTCTCACCTTTGAATTCCTCTAGTGCTTTGGGTGTTTGAGTGCATTGGGTGATACCTGCAAAGGCAGGTCCCAACCTGGGGTGACCAGGTTGCTGACCAGAGGTGATTCGGTCTGGGGCTATGTGCGAGTCACATTGTGACACATCCAAAGCAAACCTGAGGAGAGCAGGTGAAACAGACTGAACTTTGGTAGGTGGTTGAAAAAGAGCTGTGCGCGGAAGACGTGGTGAGTTCTTCATATGTCACTTTGAGATGTATTCATGCATTGAGTTTGGCAGGCTTGGGTGTGCATGTGTCATCTTTAAGTGAGTCAATGAATGCTTTCATTTTGGCTCAAGTGGAGCTGAGCCAAAATAGCATTCATTGCTGTTTCTTTCCCCACCCTCCCAACCCTAAGAGCCGACCTCCCGTGGAGATGTCCGCCTAGGTTAGGGGAGCCTGCATGGCAGGCGAGTACATAGCCTCTTTCGGGGATACTCTTTTGGGGCGACCAAAAGAAACTTCCCTCCCTTAGGTTAAGGGACGGGTGATACCTGCAAAGGCAGGTCCCAACCTGGGGTGACCAGGTTGCTGACCAGAGGTGATTCGGTCTGGGGCTATGTGCGAGTCACATTGTGACACATCCAAAGCAAACCTGAGGAGAGCAGGTGAAACAGACTGAACTTTGGTAGGTGGTTGAAAAAGAGCTGTGCGCGGAAGACGTGGTAAGTTCTTCATATGTCACTTTGAGATGTACATATGTATATATATATATATACATACATTGATATTTGGCATTCATTCATATTCGTTTTTGGGTTTGTTGCATCTAAAAAACTGAGCACTGCTTGACAGGTGAAGACCGATCATCATTATTTAAGTATAGGATTTTACTTTTTTGTCATTTGGGGGTTGCTATAACCTTGAACCACCACACCAGTTGGAGTTAAACCAATCATATCATAGCTGTGGAAACTGACAGAAGATACACAAGACCCAGGTTGACCCTGGGGACATTGCCTGTGTTTTATTCTCTTGGCAACGAAGTCGGGAAGGATTGGCAGCCGCTGGACCAGTTGGAACGACTCATTGGATGTACACAGGCTATGAATATGTGACGTGTATGTATATACATATACACATCACACACATACAAATACACACCCGGTTATGGATTATCTATGACTATACTGTACTGACACATATTTCTGTACATATATATATAATATATATATTATACATTATGTTGTATATATGTATATTATATACATTATGTTATATATATATATATATTATATTGTATATATATATACACATTATATTATATGTATATATTTTATATTATACTATATATATGATACCTTATATTATATATATAATATTATATATATATTATATATTGTATATTATGTATTATTATATTATATTATATTATATTATGTATATATTCATATCTTGCCAGGCAGCATCATGTCATTTTTCTGAAACTCCGAAGATTCCCTGCCAGGAGGCGGCTCCTTATTCGGTGGGGCAAGTGGTGCACATCACGGCTGGGCCCAGTGCAGGGCGTGCTCTGCGCATTGCGAAGCAAGTGGAAGGCGGCCACAACGGGGACTCTGAAGTCATGTTGAAGTATGGATCAATACCTATTAATACCATTTTTAGGGGGATGAACATCCATAGCTATTTTGATGTGAACTACAGGGGTACAAGGTTTTGACACACTGCCATGTTGAAGTAATTAGTTTCCTTTCAAGATCTTGGACCCGGAATTCAATCATCTTACCGGGGAAGGGAAAAATGACATCAGAACCCTGATGGTGTCTCTGGAAATCTCAACTTCGGCATCTCCAGTGGGTCAACAACATCCCAGGATGACCATTCCTCACATCCCTGGCACCCCAGCTTTTCTCATAAGGCAACCATTTCCAGTTGGATGGAGGGCATTTGCTTGGTGCCTGGCCACTTGTCTGAAACTGTTGGGCATTCCTTGAACCATCTCACTGGCTTTGAGATTTTGACGGGACTCGTATTTCTACATCATTCTATATCTATGATTGTACGCCATTACTATACAGCTACGACATATGTATCTCTCTGATTCTCTCTGTATATAGCTACAGTACATGATTACATGCATGGCTCCAATATTTTGGTATGTACATGTAAAATCATGCAAATGCATATTAGCTAGAGCTCCTGTCATTCGGCGGTGCCGCGGGAAGTGAGTCAAAAAGTGAGAGCATGCAGGAAATCAGTGCTCTGAAAATTACTTTTACTGATGCAATCTGATGTACTTTCAAGAAAGTTCCAAAACATAGGTGTTTTTTTTGCAGATGTCAATGTTGCCAATTGGACCTACATAGCCAAGTTGTCGAATTCTGAGGTGGCTTAACTGTCCGCATCACCCGTGCCCTTTCCCCTTGTCGACTACACCACTGCCACGCTGCATGCGTTACCAAAGGGTGGTAGATGCTGCGCGACTGATCGAGGTGTGACACTCATCGATGTGCTTAAAATGGACTGCAGATTTCAGGGCATCCTGAGAATAGCTCCTGTCTAAACCCATGCGTAGATGTGTATTATATTGTATTATATCACAAGATGGATTAATTAATGTACATGATTGTACATGCATGCTTGTATCCCTATGTATGCAAACATATGCACATGTATGTCTTATATATGTATATATAAACCTACATACATAGATAGCATATCACTTGTTAATCTTGTATGTAAATAATTCTGATCTGAAACATTGATCATGGATTGTGGGGTCTTCACAGTGTCCGGGAAGAATTGGAGAACATGCGCCAGAAAATTGCAGTATTTCCCAGATCCCACTGGAATTATTTACATTTTTTAACACTAACTCACCACTTGCAGCACCACATGAATCCACAATTAGATCAATTGGGTCAATATACTGTAAGATACATTCTATATATAATATATACTGTCATATAATATATATATATAATATAAAATATAATATATATATACTGTAATAATATCTATGTATATATATATATATATCTGATATAAAATATAATATATATATATATATCTAAAAACTATATAAACAATATAATATATATATATATATAAAATAATATATATAATATATAATACGTATATATACATATTGAAAATATATAATATGATATATATATAGTAATATATATATATATATGTATACACATGATATAATATATAATATATAATGATATGTATATATATGAATGATATTCCACATATATCCCACAGCTCTCTCCTCCCTGGCCATCGCAGGTGCCGTGTTCCGGCGCGCCGGAGTCCTTCCTGTCCGGCCGCTGGCGGGGCGACGCCGTGCGGCTGCAGGGGGCCAAAGATCATCCCACCGCGACGGCCGAGAGGACGCAGGATCTCTGCAGCTGGGCTGTCCAACTTGGATCCTGCGGGATGTCGAAAAGAGCTTAGTATAGCTGTAATAATTGTAATATAGCTATAATATCAATGGGAATTTCAGGATTTAAAAATGGAGGTACTGTACCATATAAGGCCATATTTTGTGGGGATATTCCCTTACATAGGCCTTATATAGGCCTTATATATGGTAGGTACCTCCAATCAATCGGTTCCTGAAATGGCCATTGAAAATATAGCTTAATATCATGTAATATCCATATTGAATCCTGTTGATTTGATGGTATTCCTTTCTCTTTTCGTTTTTGGGGATCCGTATGAATATTGGTTGTTTGATAGTAGAGCCACAAGGCAGCGGTACTCATGTGGTGGCTTTGATAGGAAATCATTTGTAAGTCTATATCTCATCCCATGAAGGATAGTAAACCATTCCTTCATTCTTTCTATGATGGCAAATAAAGGTTCAAAGATGTTCAACCAACCTTCCTTTGTGACTGTCCATTTACTATGTTTGCAGCTTTGATGGCATTGATCTCAAATTATTTCAAAGCTGTTGTGCAAATGCTGCCATGCGCAAAGCGTTGGATCGTAGGAGCTTCTTGCAACTACCAGACTCTCTCTCTCTATATATAATAATATATATATATGATAATTATATACATATACATATATATATATATACATTGCATGTGTGGCAATTTATATACTATTCATTTCATATACGGCGTCGAAAGAAATCATCCAGGGTTTAGCTTCTTTGACATTCACTGTTCTTTTAGATCCAACATTGCTTGTAGGATGCTCATGTCACTGACTCACGTCCTCGTGATCATCCAACAGCTCTTTTGCAAGAGTGTAGGCAGCAACAAGTTAATGCAGATTTTTGAAGGAGGAATTCTATAGCTTTGCACAACCTGCGTCAAGCATTGCCATGCATGGTGAAAATGTTCAGTTTTACACGACGTCACAGTACTGCCGCGAGGAATGAGGTTTAGAGAGGTCACTAGTCGTAGTCTCTTAGGCTGGGCCCTATCCTTCCAGAAAGAAAGCATTGAAGGCCTGCCGGTTAAACGGTTGAGGGGGGTATCCTTTAGAAGTGCAATGAGGTGCATGCGGTCTCATGCCGCGGAAAAGTGAGTTCTTGGCAAGTCTTCATTGCTTGAACGGGAGTATTCTCTGCAGTCTATCAGACTTGAAGAGTTTTTCTTTCGGCATGATTGGTATTTTGAATCATAGTCTAGCAGAAAAGCATGCACAACGCGCTTCGCAAGGAAAACCTTGAGAGGTCCAAACCTGCAGGTCTCAGCTGGGCATTCCCACCATTCCCAGCGCAGGTGTTGGCTTCACCACGTGGCCTGCCGCTGCTGTTCTCTGCAATGTGGGTGGAAGAGCCTGGCACAAACTGTCGGGGCGATACGAAGGTACCTGGCCACCATGCCATGCTTTTGTGAGAATTGAGTCCTGGAGAACATCCACGAAAACAATCTAAAGCGGATATCTTGACGTGCTTTGAATCCAACAAAGGTGGACTTTCAAGTTGATTTGCTCTTTATGCTTCTAGTTGTGTGTCTGGAATTCCGTACTTCACATACATGCTTGTATACCGCTCAACAATGACTTGTGACTTGGAGACACGTCTCATGTGCTCTGACTTCAAGTTTTCGGGTACCACCAGATAGTGTTTCTCTCACACACTGGTAACATTCAATGGACGGGGACTCACTATGTGCTATATCAATTAATAGCTGCTAATACTTTCCGCACTTTGCACCGTTGCCACTGCCAGAGGTGGCCGCTTTCAGCTGGAGCTTGGCTGGGAAACATCAGTGGCATCACGCCGGAGTGACGAGCCCTTGGGCGCTGATCAGGGTGAACGACGAATGCTGCGGTGTCAGGTTGGAAGCAGTTGGCAGAAGTTGGCTTAGTCAACTTGCGGAGTTTATGACTCTTTTTTAGAAATTCAAATAACAGTGTAATATATTTTACAAAGCTATTGCAAGGCTTACCGAGCAGACAGCGGACTTGAGCACGCAACGTTCCCCAGGTATAGCTGCGACAGTTTATGTAACTAAGATTCATTAAGTGTCCTTCTGACACCTTCAAAGTTGTTGATAAACGATATTTCAGCCGCAGTACGTATGAGTGATACTGGTATATATATATATATTAAATATTGGTTGTTTCAGTGATTCGTCGCCCCCTTGCAATTTCATTCTGACCTTCAGAACTACAGAACTCGACTTCAGCTTCGCAGCGAACCGGAGGTCGCAGGTCGCATTTGGTGGGATGACCGCCGTGGCAGATTTGTGTTGGCCGGACTTTGGCATGATGAAGGCGACATCCGAAAGGGACACGTTGGTTTGGACCATGGATGCTCAATGACATGTTTGCACTCGGTCGAAAATGCGACCACAGAACAGTAATAATATGGTGATATATGGTGTATGTAATGCTTTACATATGTCATCTATGTGTGATGTTCATATTACACAATACAACTGTTTCTTTTGATTGTTCCCACTTCTCCAGGCCTTTCTGGTGCTTTGCTGATGTCTCAAGAGTTGGACAGTGATGCAGGCAGATGGGATGCTTGGCATGAAACTTCAAAGGTTTCCATATGTTTCCAGCAGCGATCTGAAGATTTGAGTCCACCTGGGCCTTCGGGGCTTCGGGGCTTCGGGGCTTGCTTCGTTCACTCTGAGGAGGGTACAGTGGACAATGTTCACGAGGAGTGGTTGCTGGCCGTTGTGACTTGGCTGACTTGGCTGACTTCGAAAAGATCGTTTCAGGAGCAGCCAGGATCTTTTGAAGTCTGATTTCATCTGAGGATCTGAAACAAAGGCCTCAAATCTTCGGCGTGGTGATTGGTGAGGGCGGTGAGGGGCTCAAACTTGAATGATATGTGGCAATCTATGGCGATCACATGCGATCACGATGATTTGCTTTGCAGTATTGTGAAATTGGATCAAGGGCTGGCATTGACACGTGGGTTGGAGATGGTTGGAGTCCGTTGTTTTGATTCAGGATGTATTGAATGTATTGTTCGTGCAAGACACACTGTGCTTTACTTCAGAAACTTGTGCTTCAGTGAAACCCATTTTTTGAAGACTTGACATACCTTGGAAATCATGAAAATTTTGGGAATGCACTTTCTATCATCTTCTGCTGAAATATTGAATCAATCTTTCCACCTGATCTGAACTGATTTGATGCAACATTTCTGATTTATGATGAGACACTACAGTCGCATCCAACAGGTTCAGATGAATGGAATTTGTGCCCGCCTCAATTCTGCTTTGTCACTGTTAACAGAAGCAGAGTGGGCGAGGATCGACGGACGGCTGACTTGAAATCCTCTAATTTAATTTTCAGGATCCACATTTTTTTACCGTGTGTTTTTCGTGTGCTGCTTTCATTCTACACTATTCTGATCTATTCTGTATTCTTGCCACAAAGCCTGAGATTATACCATTCGGGTCATCCAAAAACCCACAGCTGTTTTTCAGTAACCAAAGTGCAACTTTCTTAGCACATATCTCTGCAATCGCGAAAGATGGCGAACATGCAGCGACAAGGTTTTGCAAAAAAGTATCTACATACACTATATATAATGTTTGCCAGGTTTCTACATAATGTTTGACCATTAGAAAAAATATCTGCGATGACAGGTCTGATTCGCAATGGCAACAGGACAGCTCATGTCAATGGCATTTGCACATCCCAGCTGTTAAGGATCCGTGGATTCTGTGATCAACATGGAAAGGCCGGGCTTGCTCTTCAAAGTATCAAAGTCTGGGGAGACATTCATGTTATATCGCTCTCACAAGTTTTGATCGGCCAGGGTTCCAGCTGGTAGACAAAAAGAGGGCTACAACTACAGCTACAGCATGCTACAGCTAGTGACGTGTATGACCTTTGACACGCTTTGGACGGACCCGAGGGCCATTCACTGTTTTATCTTGACGCTTTGCAGGTGGCTCTGCGCAAAGATTTCGCAGATGGATCTTTTCTGGAAAGCCCATGGCATCTTGAGAGTCGTGATTTGCCGCAGTCATGTGACGAGCTAGTTGCGGCAAACAGAGCCTTAGCAAAACTTCAGCGTACACATGCGTACACTTCAAAAAACTCGTGGGGGTTGTTTGCCCTCCCTTGCGACAATTAAGAAACGGCAGATCCAAATAGCGACATTACATGCCATTATATTACATCCGAATTATTTCTAGAACGCTATTTAAACATTGCAATTGCATGCGATTGCAGCATCATTGGATCAGACGATCTTAAACACACGATACTCATTCTATATTAATCTAGATTATATAATAATATATTATATTTATAGATATTAGATTCGACTACTGTAGCAGTGCTGTTTTTTTTGCCTTCCAAGTCTGTCTTGCTGCAAGCACGCTGCCAGCAGTTTGGTCCTCGAGGTCGGATGTGTCAAGTACGCCCTTGGCAACGGATTGCTGACATCACAGAGCTGCTGGGAAGTGGGGAAGCTCAGCTTCTGACCGCAGTATGATTTGTGATTATCAAGTAAGGATCAATTATGACATAAGTTACAGTCAATGTATAAATACGTATACATAAATGTATATAATATATGATATTTCATAATATCTCTTACATATATATATATATATAATACTGTAATGTTTATGAACTGGTATGTTTTGAGATGGTCTGTGAGGATTTCGAACCACATTATCCATTCCGTTTACATTATGTATGCTACATGCAGCGGATGATTTGGGGTTGCAGCACGGTCCGAGGCTACTGCCAATCACGAGGTTCAAGCGTCCAGCTGATCGAAGACGATGGACAGGTGCCACATTGGTATATATCTATAGTATTCTATGTTAACTGTTGGATTAACTGTTGGATTTATGGTATATATCGAATATCTATAATGTTGGTAGCAGGAAACTTTTGCTGCAAAGAAACCGCACACTTTGCGAAAGTTTGAGCGAGTCAGGTGAAGTTACAAACGCAGAAGGAAATTCTTCAAACGCCTGCCTTCCTCGAGAGCGGTCGTATTCGTATGGCTTCCCAGAATTGATGGGCTGAAACATGGCCTGGTCTTGTGGTGATACCAATTGAGTTGAGCACACTCGGTCTTGCATTCGCATCGCTTAGGTCTTCATAAGCAATGCGGTCATTTGAAGGAAAACAAGCAGATTGTGTGGAGCAATGGATCCATCTGGACACGGGAAGTGACCGTGGATTCGATTGCGGAAAAAAAACTGAGGAGTTGAGCTGCCCAGCTGATGGCATGGGATCACTCATTCGCAAAGCAGGATTCACGGGCTTTCAGGATCAAAAGTGCAGGACCAAGGGAGTTAAAATGACCCTGGAGCGAAAACACATTTTCAGATCATGTCCCCAATGTTTTGGCATTCCCAGGATTGACTCGGAATCGCAAAAAAAGCAGTGTTTCAGCCGGAGATGCCCTCATCTTTTCAATGTGGCATGATTTTCTATAATAATTAAATAGCTATACATTCATATATTATACATATATATATATATATTTATATGTATTATACATACATTCCATTAAATTGCCATCCGATTCCTGTCTATTCTTTTCATTTGCGACTGGTCACTGCCAGAGTACCATGATCCCCATGCGGGGACCAGGTACCACAAGGCCCGGAAGAAGGCAGCCAGAGAAGTTCGTCAGAAGAAACTTCGCGGTTGAAGCTGGGCGGGGCCCTGGGGAGTCTTGGATAGCGTATCATTTTCCATGGAAAATCACTCACGATCATCATACTATATCATACTATATCATACTGTCATTCAAATGTGGCTATGGAAATCTATGGACAGCTGTATTTTGGTGAAGCTCCCTGCCGGCTCCTTGACGTATTTGATGCAGTCGCTGTTGCTCTCATGGCTTGTGGTGCCTTCCCTTGGGCAATTCTGTCAACTGGCGGAAATGGAAACGGGCTTCTGGTGGAAAAGTTCTAGTGACAACAACATAGTTTTCAAGAAAGATCGGCACCACAAGTCTGGAGTCAGAGGTATTCATACATTGACATCTTTGTACAGTGTCTCAACATGTCTCACCGTGTTTCCAATGTTTCACTTGTTTCCTGGGGCCGCCAAAGAGGCCAGACAGGGTCTTGCGCTGAAGCAGAGTTGCGAGAAAAGTTGCCCGTGCAGCTGCACCGTGCAATGGGTTTTGGTAAACTGTGTCATACATAGAGTGTACTGTATATATATATAATTATATATATATGTATAATACACGCAATAGTGTGTGCAAATACATAATAATATATATGTCTATATATACCTGATAAAGTTTAAGAAATGTACCCGTTGTAGACGTGCCAAGTGTTTTTGGGAAACTTCATGGTATTTGCTTTGCAGCTGCAGGTTTTCTGCCAAGACCTGATCCATAGACTTCCTGCCAATCTCAGGTCACATCGAAAAATTGTTTTTTTTGGGTGGGAAATGCCTCAATGCCTCTTCAAGGCCTTTATTTATGCGTCTTTTGCACTTTTCTGCACTCTGCACCTCTACCCCGACTCTTTCCTTTCTACCCACTGGACGTGGGAAGAACTCCATTGAAGCGGCAGCATGGAGCTGTCCATACTTGATCAGAGGCAGAGAAGACTCCTCTGTCGTCATCGAAGCTGTTTGCCAAAGGAGCGAAGCATTTCGCTTGATGACGCGCGGCTGGCCCGACGCCGCTTTGGACTGGCGTACGGGGTCTCAGCATGTCTCAGCCATGACTGCACAGTGAGATGGAAATTCAGTGGTTCTCCCTCACAATGCTCACCATGAGGGTTGCTCTTATTCGCTTACAAATCTTACAAAATCACTGGCATTCATTGAAACCATCATGTTTGCTGTCGGTGATGGTGGCATTGCTGGAATCATTGTGGCCACAGAATTGTCGAGGCCACATGGATGGTTCCTGGTTCCGCGACGAGTGGCCAAAGGCGGCTCTAAAGACCTTAGGACTTCAAACAAGAAACCGACCTTGAAGGTGCTGGGTTGGACACTGTTAATTATATAATGTGGATTTGCCTGCATACTTCTTGCAGTTCTTTGTTCAACACCTAAATCCGTGCTTACCCCACTTTCAATTTACCTGATTTTCCAGAGTGACTGTTGATGCGTGAGCGCCGATCGCTCAGTGCACTGAAACTGCAGGGCCGGCGATCAGATGTGCCACGAGCTCAGTCCCAGCTGACTGCATCAGCCAAACAACAGATTTTTACGGATTTGGCTGCTTGCAGGTATGGTACACCATGACTCCAATCAGACATAGATATTAATGTACACAGAATTCTACAATCACATAACACATGAACATATATACATAATATATACATGTAATTCTATATACGTATATAAATATAGATATGCACTTATCATCACTTATGTAGTAGATACCACATCCGAATACGTATTATTTGCTCAGTTCCAAAGCGTCGCATCTGGTACGGCCAAGGAAAGCTGCGGCTCCTGCACGAGGTCGTTCAGCCACTTGGCCCAGCAGAGCATTCACTATGGAAGAACAGAAGTAGGGCGGCATGGCCAATCATGTAATAAAGCCCATACAGTTTAGCACTCATGAAAAAGATCCAGTCAGTAAGTGTTTGTTCTTCCAATCACTCAAAACATCTCAAAACGGTTTGCTTCTTACAAGGTCCGAGTTCTTGCACGGCTACGGCCTTTCTTGGACAATGAAGAGGAGCAATTTAGACAGGGTGACATCGGACAGCAGAAATTTAGCTGCAGATGACTCTTGTGAACCTGCTGGAAAACGCGTTCTGAAGGCACGGTGCAGTTTACCATGAAGTGTTCAGTGCATCCATGTGCATCCTGAAAGACTAACAGGATGGAGAAGGAACAAACAGAAGCAGTCCAATGTGAGGCGACCTCCGCAGAATCACGAAATCTCCCCATGTTTTCCAACAAAGCGCGCCATGTTGTGCCAAAGGAGCCGAGCGATATCCCGTGCCTCCGCACGGTTGGGAGCTCTCAACTCGAGGTGTGCTCCTCAACATTCTGCGAATGCGAAGATCACATTCCAATGGAACACAGAAAAAACTGATGAAGCAACATGGAGCAACTGCAATGGGCATTCACCTCTGAAGTGCTGGCGGCTCTCGATTGTCATATTTTCAAACCAGATTTTGGAGGGACTTTGCTTCACATGCTCCTGGAAAGCATAGCTAGACGCCATTTCTGCCTTGCCTCTTGCAGACTCTTCCAGGTTCTGTTGGAACCCCGGGCTCTCCTAACGGATACTGCTTGTCGTCGTGGGCGCCGGCGCACCATTGGTGCAGCACTCGGTAGCACTTGGAACCTGCACAACTCAATGGATTTGACAAGGGTTGCCAAATCCGTAGTCACTGCCGTAGTCATTTTTGACGCGGACAAGGGCTGTTTAGCGTAAATGCTTTGTGGTGCTTTTGCTTCACATTCTCTCACACTGAGAGTCTCTCTCTGGACATCTTATATTGTATGTTGCTTATTGTTCATGGTTACCGTGGTTCAAGTTTTGAAAAAGTATCGCATCCCTGTGCCAGTGTACATGATTTTTTTGAATATGTGCCAGGGAAGTTTTGGAAATCTAAATCGCAGGTACCTTCTGGAACACATGTCAATATACAGGAAGATCCATCCCAAATTCAGTTTTACAATACATGTATGTGGGGTGTGCTTCCAATTGGGTACCTTAATCAGCCATCAAAAAACATGTGACTTGGGAAACACTCAAAGCAGTTGCCTCAAAGAAATGGTTTAAGGCGACATTATTTGCAAGCAGGGTCGCGCTCGCAATTGCCATGGAGGGCTGGGATAGTGACAAGCTGCCAGCAGTGGTTCGAAAGCCATGGGAGATTTTTCAACACTGCGTGCAGCAGCGTGTCACTTTGAAGCTCTTGGCGAATGAAGCTACAGAAGAACCTGATGCCAGCTTCTTCAAGCTCTTGGAACAAGATGGTGCTCAAAAAGTTTTTGCGACCCTGGATGTGGAGACCCGCAAGACTTACCAAGGCATCAGTCACATGGAACTGGCGGCCTTTTGTCACTACGCTCGTGAGCGCGCTCGCCGGCGTAGCGGAGCCACTGACAGCAACCAGTCGCACACAGACGAATCCAGCAGTGAAGACGATACCGATGAAGATGCCTTTGACGCCCTGAGCGACGAAGAGACTTGGGTATGAAAAAGCTTATGTTGTAGTTTGCAATTTGGAATAGACCCTTTTACGCCTTTTACGACTTTCGTGGGCGGTAATAGTGGCAGGATGTGGCAGACGACTTTTTTTCGATTTTTTCTTCTGCAATTCCTGCAAGAAATAGACGTCTGCCCTGTTTGTTTTGCTGAGGAGCGGCGGAAGCATGTGCCAGACAGCCTGGAAGATCAATGGAAATTGATCAAAGACCATGGCTTTGGCTTTCTCCTCCCAGACCACAAAGATGAATCTGCAGTCGGCCACAACGATGAAGCTGCAGATGTTGCAGAAGATGTAGAAGTTGCATATGCTGCAGATGCAGAAGATGCAGAAGATGCAGAAGATGCAGAAGATGCAGAAGATGCGGACGGTGCAGAAGATGCAGACGCTGCAGAAGGTGTAGCTGCAGAAGCTACGGATGCTGCATATGATGCAGATGAAGCTACTATGAGTCAAGCTGTTCAATCTGCAGATCGTACCACTGAGACGGCAGATGACGCTGCCGAGTGTCCTACAGCGGTTGAAGCTGCATCTCGGCTGGAGAAGCTCTTTGCACCCCCGGCACCGGTGAGCACGGAGGACATCGAATCGGACTCTCCCAGTCCTGTGCCGAAGAAGCGCAAGAGAGGCAAAGCCGCTGCGAACCCGGTTGACGTGGCTTGGATGATTGTCGCAGCAAAGACTTTCAATTTTTGATTGGAATCTCAAAAGCCTCCAGGCATCTCCAGGCAGCAAGCTCTAGACTCTAGGTTTGGGATGTTGACTTTTTTCTCAACCCCTCAAACTGGTAAACTAAAGGAGTCCGGAGGTGAATAGCAATAGCCCAACGCTTCGGGGTAAGCTTTCAGACCTGAGGACCGACAGCCATCACACGATGGGTTGATTCGGGCACAAAGTATCCAAAGTCGTGTTATGTTTCTTCATGTCAACCCCAGATTAATCAACTCTACCATTCTATATATAGTTGGGGGATGTTTTGGGGATTACCCCCAAAATACTGATAAAACTGGGGGTTCATGGTGGAAATCATATTGTCTTCTTGATGGATCTTGATGGTGCAATTGTGGACCATGATTTCAGTTCGTCCCATGGCTCAGGTGGCTATGGCAGCTGGAGCAGTTCTGGAAGGGGCTGGAAGTCAAGCTGAAGCGGCGGCAACTACCAAGAAAGACGTTTGGGTATGCAGTGTGTGCAACAAAAAACGTGGAAGCCTGATCCTTTGTGACTCATGCGTTTCTCGGTGTCCAATGGTAGGGATATTATGGGATATTTATCCTACTATATAGTTTGCAACTACAAGATGTTTACATAACCAAGAACTGGCAGCAAGGTGGGACATACGGTGGGACATACAGTAGATATCAGTAGATGGTTTCCCCAGTCCGGCCAGGTCGTGGGACTGTGGGAGCTTCGGAAACCAGCCATGGTCCAGTCGGCTCAAAACGAAGGGATAAATGACCAAAATGACCAGCATTGACCAAGCATTGCGGGATTCGTTGATACCCTGTTTGAATCGCGTCACCTATCCGATCCGAAGAGAAACCACTGCAAAGTCTGTATCCCAGTCAAGGACAAGTGCTTCCACTTCAAATGCCACAAGCCGAAGCCAGATCTGGTGGACCCAGATGTGGATAAGTGGTATTGTGCCTGGGCAGATGAGTGATGCGGACCTGGGGACTGTCTTCGGGTCAAAAACAAATCGAACTATGGGGGATGTCACCAAAATGTGCTTATTGAAAACAAATGGAGGGGTCACAAGAGGCATGGAATTGCTTTTAAGCGCTGGTCTGAACCAAACTTTGAGAGTTTCCAGATGTTTCCAGTGATTCGTGCACTTTGTAGACATGTTGCTGGTGTCATATCCAAGGTGCCCGTTGCACTGAAACCATCTCTCGGAAACGTGGCCTGCATTTGCGCCGTGGAGATCTGTGCTGGGCAAAGAACGCGAAGGGAACACACTTTCCTGGCGTGGTCCTGGAGCTTGATGTGGCTCAGGAGGACGGCAGTTGAAGTTACTGATGTTTAAATTATGTTCTTTTGGGAATCGGCTTTTGAATGCGAATCGGCTTTTGAATGCTTGTCATGAGTTTTTAGGCGTTTTGACATGTTTTGAAGCTCAAAAAGCTGTGCTGACCTCAAGCAAAACTCTTAAAAAACCAAGAAGATCCATTGGTCGCGTGAGACCATTTCCTTCTGTCAGGACTCGTTCGTCAAGGTCAGATTCTTGGATTCGGAGCGCACTGAGGCATGGCACAATGTCAAGACAGCTACTCAATTGCAGTGGAGAGGGCTCAAATGGTGGAGACACTGAGGAAAATGATTCATGCATCTCAAAGGGTTCTGAATTAGACAATGAATGCAAAAGAGGAACAGCTGTAAAGACATGCAAAGACAATCAATGCTACTGCTACAGTACGTACATATAAGCCCTTTGGCAGAGCGCCAATCCTTTGATGCCCCTCGGATGTGTGCTGTTTTGCTTGTGCTCGGATTTGTTACAAGTTGCAGAACAATTAGCTTTGCTCAAGAAAACACATAAAACACTGAGGAAGCTTGGACGGCAAATCGGAAAGGAACGATAGTGCCAAAGGATGCCAAAGGTAGATTATCGGTGGGCTGAAAAGTCTGGAACATGTATCAGGATCTAGTGAGACAAATCAAATAGAGATATAGAAGATAAATTAAGGTGCTGCTTTGGCAGCACAAGAAACAGGATTTTAGTGGTTTCACCATGTTTCACCAGCTGAGGTACGGGGGTGGCATGATTTTTATCCGACAAAGCCATCGTCAGCTCTGAAGACGGCCATTGCAGAGGCTGAGTCGGCAGCGAAAGCCCTTGGCCTTGACCTCATCAGGACGGTCTCACGTTGGTTGCTGAAAACATGTGATACCCGAAAACGCCTGATTTAAGCCATTTCAATATGGACATTTTTTTTTTCCCTAGACAGATTTATTCTTTTCACATTTTGTGTCTATACATCTGCAGCCTCATCCAGGACACCAGATCGTGCATCTACGGACAAGAAGGCCGCAAAGAGGTGAGAAGCAGCAGCAGAACATGGGATACGGGTGTGCTTCAGTGATTTCCCTTCTTAAACCACCACATTCGAATGATTCCCCCATCTGATTCCTAAACCATGGATTTTTGAACGATCTTTGAGCACGAGCCACTGAATTCGAACAGTATCTATGACTTCTTATGACTTCTCTAAAAAAGTGGCCATAGAAAGCAGGGCTCTCCCGTTTCCCAGACGCTCCGTCGCCGCGCAGAACACCTCTCTCGGGTCCCAAGCAGCCGATGAAGAAAGCGAAGGTATTGGCATCAACGCCACCAAAAGAGGTGAAGACCGGGACCAGATACAACCAGGTACGACCAGATGGGACCAGATTTAACGATTCCAACCGGACAATCTGGTCACTTTGCATGATGTACTACCTGATGTACTGAGTCTTTTGATGCAAGGGTCTCATAGGATTTCCATGGATTTCCAGTGTTCCTGTTTCAGTGCAATGCCTCTAGAACTTGCTCCAGGAGCTAAACAAGATCCAACAGCTTTTGAATGAAGCTGCGATGCGACAACAGCGACTGCTGTCATTAAGTTCGAGTCATTAAGTGAGGGATAGGCCGGGCTGGCATGGGAACAGCATCATGTCTACGGCTTGATGTCGAAGGCACACAATCGCCATGTAAGCACTGTTCAAAATCTTGTTGGTTCATGAGTATAGGGGATAATGATGGATAATACATATATATATATATACATACGTATATAATCGTATATACACGTATATTTATAATTATATATGATAGTTATTGATAATTACTATACTATCCAATGGATTGGGGGTTATCATGATCTATTACGGGACATCCTATTCACCAGGCTGCAGAACGGGGTTCCACAAGTTGGGTTTTTTTGAGCACTGCTCAGGTAACATCATGCAACATCATGTAACTATATTCGTGGTTTGACGTGTTTTGTATATTTTCTTATAACATCTTATAACCTGCATCTACTGATATATGACCTGTGCTGCTGACCTCACCATTACCTCGCGTTTTTGATTCAAACTTGTGCTGCTGTGCCGATTTTTTTCGTGCACGGTCAGACAATCATTGCCTGTTTGCATGAATGCTTGGTAAGACCAGTTTTGCTCCAGTCGACACGCATTAACCTTGTTATGAAGTTTCTGAAAACTGTCTACATTATATGGTTTGGAATTTGCTAGCCACAAGAAAAGTGAATCTGGTCAGCATTGTGCAAACAGACGTGCTGGAATTTAGGATCACAGTGGGAGCAAGGGAGAATGTTCAGACGATTCAAACAGCCAAACATGAGCTGTGAATCGGTTCTGTTTCCTGCCCACACAGAGATCCTTAAAGGAAACATCCCACAGACTGAAGAGATCTGAAGACTACAGTGCAGCACAAAATGGGCACACTGTCCACAGTGTGAGTCGATGTCAGATGATGTCAGGATCGGGCAGTTACTATGCGATTCCCATGAGTTGCTGTAAGTTTGTCACAACCGCTGACATCGTTCGCTGCACTTCGGGAGTTGTCCCGCTTTGACTCTGAGAAATGCCACACAAAAGAGGCAGATCTCAGAGTTTCACTGTGCATTTGTTGATAGTCTAGCCATCTGAAGTTGACAACTTCAACCCCGAGCTTCCAACCACAAAGCAGGAACATGAGACAGACCTCTTTGCGGCCCTTTGATTCACATCAGCATGCATGCAATCTGAACTTGCATGATTTCAGTGAGAAAGACTGAAGAGTTTAAGCAATGCACGTCCCGTTTGCTTGTGTGGCTTATTTCTGACCAACCTGCGAGCACAACAAGGTGGCTTGCACGATATTGGGAGCTGCAAGTTGGGTGCTCAGAGATTTGATCTGAATGATTCCTTCCGTCAGCGGACGTGTATTGCCAGGTGTTTTTGTTCTTTTCTTTTTTCTATCCGTGGTCCAGTTTGGATAGGTGAACCACAGTGAAAGCATTAGTGCACCATTATGTGCCGAGCGGTTTCATGAAGGGTACCTCACATAGAATATCATCGTCAAGTCATCCAAAACACCCTGGACATCCTTGGGACCACTATGGACCAACAGTTTCTCTCCCTTCCCAATCCTGTGGACAATCCTTAAAAATCCTTAAAATACGTATATTAAAATACTATTTGGATCTATTTGGATAATTTGGATTGGGAATGTCCACTTATGGATTTCTCCAATGTTCCATCCATTTTCATCCATTCCCCATATGTTCCCCATATTTTTCCACCGGCCCTGACGGGTTGTCAGATCTCAGGTCTGCTGCCTCGATGCCCTCAGTCTCCTCCCGAGGACTCTTTGAGTGCCTCCGGAGATATGGATGGCAGATGGGAGTTGAGTATCATAGAATTGGATGATGGGAAAATTTGAACCGGAACCCCCGATCAATTTGATGGTAAAAACCATGGGTTTCCGGTTAAGATTTTCACCAACAAACCAATCCATTGAGAGTAGGACCTCAGAGAAACATCGAAGTTACTTGGTTTGTTGACATGTTCGCTGCAACCCCACACGGTTTGCCGGTTTGCCAATCCCAAACATATCCTTTGACATGCTCAGATCCCTGCGCAGGGTTTAAGTTTTTTACTTTCCGAAACAACAAACACCAAAACCCTAAACCCTAAAACCCTAAAACCTAAAACCCTAAAACCTAAAACTCTAGAACCTAAAACCCTAAACCCTAAATTACATTAAAACCCTAAATCCTGAAAACTTAAAGTCAAAATCACTGCGTATAGCCAGTGTTTTCATTCATCCTTTGGTGATAAGTATATCATGTTGTTTGGATGTGTTGTTTGAGTGTGGGCGAACCAGGCGGTTGCGGGGGACATGTTTAGACTGCAAATCATTATTTCACACATTTTCACACTACTTATGATGCTGATGCTATCATCTTGAAGGCCAAACTTGAGTGCGCCCTTTGTGTGACCTAAGGAGGATGCCATGGTTGGCGGTGAAATATTCGCTATTCAGAATCAAAGCATGCGAAGTGGTTTTCCATGCGAGGAACTACAGAGGTCACCTTTCGAGCATACTTTCCGAAGCATGGTTTCCGAAGCAGGGGTCAACCTCACCTTTCGTGCTAGTTTCTTCTTGCACACACACAAGGTAGTACATGCAACTAGTAACTAGTATCAAAATGTATCAAACATGTACCAAACAAGTTCAGTTCATTGGAAATAGACATGTGTAATAATTAGTAATGCACATAGGAACGACAGTTGTCCACTACACATTCCGCATGGCATACCCTGTGAACTCAGCCTGCTGTCAGGTCGCCCTTCTTACCAGGCTGGCTGTAGTCTCTGTGACAAAATGGATGACATGATGAGGGTGAATGTTGTGAATTAACAGAGTCTGAGTTTGACATGCTGACATGCTAAAGTTGACTTGTCTCTATTCTATGATTTCTATGATTGTATGATGTTATGTCATTTCTGGCAAATCTTTCTGGCATTTGCCCACCTGGCTACTAATTCCACTGTGTAGTTTTCTGCTGCAGGGGCACTATCCCTGTGCTGTGACCCTTCACCTGCTCACTTCGCCCGCAGTTCGTGGTTTGGAATCCCGCACCTTTAGCTTTGATCAGGCACTGCCGGTGTCGTTTTTGTTTTTCTTTGTTCCGGGGTCCAGACTTGAAGAATAGACAACAGTGACTGCATTTCGGTAAGGGATGATACTCCTGTGAAGAAACGCCAGAAGTGCAGCCTGATCAGGATTGTTGCCATCAGCAGAAATCTAGCGGTGTGAGCTACTTAAGGTAGAATGTGTCATTGAAATCTGAGCGTCTAAGCAAAGGAGATCTCTGCAGGTTGGCTATGCCAATTCCTATTGAATTTGAAGAGATATGAAACAACGCGATCTGCTCCTCTCTGCTGCGTCCTTATTTGGTGGTTGTTCTTTCAGGTTTTTGATGCAAATGCCAGTGACGACCAGGCCAAGTCTGAGGATTCTGTGGATGGGGTTTCGGGTGTGGGCATCCTCTTCAGTTGTCAAGAAGTGATGCCCATGATGTCCCACTTCAGTGGATTTTGGAGTGGAGCCTGTCTCTGATTTATGGAGATTGAAAACTCGGTCGTGCAGGGAAGAGCAGACGGCTTGCATCTGAAAAGGAGTGGTCATCAGTAGAGACCTCCAACATCCTCCAACCATATCTATTGTTACTGCCTCTTAGAGGAAGCCAACAATTCCAAAGTTTCTATACATTGCCGCTTTCAGGGCAACTGTGCAGGCAAGATGATGCAATGGGGAAGTCCGACATTTTTATTCTTTGCATTCTTTCTTTCAAGCGGTGGTGACACTGCCAGAATCCTTGTCAGGTCTTCAGTGAGATTCAAGATGAACTGCAGGCTGCTCTGAAGGGTGAGGCCGCTGCCACATGATCATATTGTCAGTAGAGATCCTGTTTGGTGAAACATGCTACGCCACAAGTCGCATTTAAGGCGACTTTCTGAGACAAAAAAATGCATGACGAAGTAATGGTTGACGTCGGGAAAATGGGATGTGATATGTGGATTTGTTTTTGTGTTCCTGTGACAAGGCGGTTTGCATTCTCGCATACGGGGCTACTGGGAGCGGAAAGGCCTGCGGGGTGTGGAGGTGAACCTGCAGAGGTTATGAATGGATGTGCCCAGTCTTTCTCGGCAGCTTCATAGCGTATAGACCGTGTAGATCCGTGTAGTAAATTCATTCTGGTCTGGCAGATAAGCACCCGGTGGTGCCACTCACGTTGCTTTCATACTGACAGCCTCATCCAAGACCTTGCGGTGTTGCTGGCCTCAGACCCATACAGTCACCAACATCGCGGAGAGGGTAGCACAAAGGCTCAACAGTGAGGCGCCAGCAATAGCGGAGGAGTATTCTCAAAGGGTTGGGTTCTATGCTTTGATCAATCATTGTGCTATGAATTGTTCCTTTTGGTTCGCGAGTCTATGCCCCCACAATACAGCCCTTTGGCTCTTCCGTGGTCATCCAGGCCGATCTGTTGGAGAAAGAGGGCTCTCAGCTGGAAGTCTTGGTTTCAAACTCAGGACCAGTAGGATGACTGGGTGATCATTTGCAGGAAAGAAGGATGACTCTGGCATTTGTGGCATTTTCCAACTTGAGCAGCTGCCGGATGCCGTAGGATGCCGGAGGTTGTGGATTCCATTGATTCTGAGGTTCAGATCGTGGAGATCTACAACGAACACTTCCGGGACCCAATTCCAATGCCATGCGGCTTCGGCTGGGGGTTTCGAGTGTGTCACTGTGTTAACTGAAAAGATACAGCTGGTGATGCTGGTGGAGGTAAGAGATTGGAGAAATGGTGCAACGCATGAATTCCCTTCCCCAGGACCTGCTGACGGTGGCAGATACTTCGCACACTGCTCACCATGAAACTCCAAAGTGCCAGAGCTCAGACAAAGGTTCACGCTTCATGCTTCACGCTTTGGTGTCCTGTGGTCAGGGTCACTCGAAACCCTTGGGGCAGACTCAGAGTCATCGCCAGGGGCTGTTGCTTCCAGTCTTGTTGCTTCACCATGTGATTCGCATCATATCATTGAAGCAGGTCATATTAGGTCGTTGTTTTTTCACCATAGAACTTACGTATAGTTGTAATATACGTATAGTTATAATATATAGTTATAAGTTATAATATGTAGTTGTATATATAGTTATAATATGTAGTTATAATATATATATATATATATAATAGTTATAATCTTATAATATATTTTAATATATAATATTAATTACATAATATATTAATATATTATATCACAGAATTATAGAACTGCATAGAATTCAAAACCAATAGCCACCGTTCCACGTTCCCACTTTGCCCGTCAAGGTTGAAGACGTTCTCGCCCAGCAGCAGTGCCACATTGCAGGTGGAGATCGAGGAATAGATAGGAACAGCTTAGTTGCGTGTAGTTCCTTGTTTTATTTTCCAAGCCCTACGACTTTTCTAGATGTTTGGTGTGGTCATAATACATAAATTTACAGTGCGGCTTTCTTCAGTTTTCTTGAAATCTTGCAATTCCAGGGGGTGACGCACCGGCGAATTACCCGCGGCAAAGACATGCTCAAGGGTCTGCAGGTGCAGAAATGGCGGCTGATGGCAATGGCAAGATATCCGATGATAATATATCTGAAGCCTGTGGATGTAGTATCTCTGATTTGGAAGCATTCGGAACGCTTTTGAGCGTGGGTTGCAATTAAACGGGTGTACATACCCGTTCTTTATAACAACTCCTTTTGGCACTTTGGACAACTGTGTGATGGTATCTGAAGATGTTTCTTGCTAGCCCAGAGATTTACTTTCGTGTTTTTTCAATCAGTAGATCACCGGAACAGTGTGTATATCATTGTATATAATAATTACATTAATGTAAAGAGCACATGGAATTTGAAGTCACTTGATGTTTTCGGGTGCTGATCAAGTGCCTTCATGATCCTTCATGAACTTTTGGCAGTCGGCGCTACGATTTGGCCAAGCACAGCGCGCTACGTGTTCAACCTCTGTCTGCAAGCCCCAGCAGACCAAAGCATGCGGATCAATTGATTTGGACTATGGGGGCTTCAGATTCAGTGGGTCGGGTTTTGTGGTCTTCACAAGGCCTGGAGGATATTACAGATTTGGTGAAAAGCTACATTGCTATATCAGCTACGTTTGCCCTTCATTGAGCTCTGGGAATATGGGTGTCATAAAGGCCCTATAAAGGCCCTCCTCCTACAAAGAAAGCGCAATGTGAATAATTACTTTGATTTTGATCTGTATATTCCACTCACACAAATCCAATCGAACAAGAACCATTGTACCCTTTGTACTTTGAATTCTATGATTCCTTTCAGAAACACTAAGACATCTCATGCAGACGACTGCCTGGAAAGGAACACGGTCCATGCGACTAATGCCGAGGTCCATGGGCGTTCATCACGTTCGCATTTGGTCAGCGCCTTATGCCGATTGCTACACCGCGCTCCGTGGATCAATCGAACGTGACCTTTATGAACGCTGCAGTCCAAAGAAGCGACTTGTCAACACCGAATCATTCCTTTCCTTGTTGATATATGTTGATATCAAACTCTAAGAAAGTGAATTTCTTGTCAGTCGGCCCTTACTTTGCTTTGCGGCATTTGAACAGTTGAGACTTTTGGAATAGCCGCACCAAACTGACATGAATGATGAATCGAGGTCATGATGCTCTATTTGCTCACCTGCGACGAATCAGGCATCAATGCTGTCGCAATTTGGGTGCGGCTAAGGACTCTCATGATCTCCCATGATTGGGTTCGAGTCTGCTTAAAATCACATTTTATCTCATTTTACCACATCTTAGCTATTTTGGTGGCGGACTACTGCCATTTTGTACCAATGAAATCCTTGGGGAGCTATCCATCAATATCCATCTACATCCATCTACAGTACCAGTACCCATTCAACTTGTGAAAACATATTAAAGCGATTAGGAGCTTCCGATCAGGTTCCCAACATCAACTGGGGCGCTTGAGTTTGGTGGACCTCGCTGGCAGCGAGCGCATCAAGTGCTCAGAGGCACGTGCCATCGCTGTCAGCGTGCTGTGTTGGAAGATGGTACTATCACAAGTATGTACTATCACAATTATGTACATTTTCTACATAATATATTTAATTCTATTTATATATAATATTAAAACTGAATAATCTGAATATTACTGATATTTGTCTATATACACCGGAGACCAGTAAGTCAAATCAACATGATAGATGTATAATGATGTACAAGTACAAGTCTCCATCTCCATGATATTTTTCGAAAAGATGCTGCATTTGACCCCTGCTGGAGACCGAAGCTTTTCGCCGCCTCGTGAGGCAACGGGCGATCGACTCAGAGAGGCTCAACACATCAACCGATCCTTGAGCGCTTTGGCCGATGTAGTGGTGGCCAAGGCCGAGACAGAGGGCCAGTTGTGTGACCACCTCCCAACCTCCGAAGGTATTTGTACTGAGTAGATATGGGGGCACAACCACAGAATAGCACATATGTGTGCAGAAAAAGTCAGAAAGGCCCGCTGCACTCTGCCGGCTGTCAATCAACCAGGTAGTCAGTCCGTTTTGCAGTTTCTTTTGCACATTCTTACCATTGAAGTGCCGCAAGGTTCATAGATTCGAATGTACTCTATTTACTAGCCTAGCGTACCATGTGTGATCCAGCAACAGGAGAAGGGAGTTCCGCATGTGCCATACCGGAACTCGAAGCTCACCCATCTGCTGCAGGACTGCATGAACTAGTTGAAGATGTTGAAGCACAGAGGGTTGAGTCAAAGTTGCGCTCACCCTATGGTAATTTAACATAGAAGATCAACATTTTTGATGATTGTAAATCATCTATAAACGGGTCATTTTCCATTTTGGTATCAGCAATTCAAGATCTTGAAAGCTCTTCAACAGAGGCTACAGCTGCAAGCTTCAGATTGCAGATAAGCCCGATATGTTTGCTGAATTTTGCAGAGTCCCTAGAATTGGCAAGGCCACTTGCTGTTTGTAGTTGGATTTGTTCGAAGTGTTGGAAAGCACTCAAGACAGAGATGACTGAATCGGGGATCTAAACCTAGACCAACAGAGCATTCAGGACGCTTTGGGAGGTCAACAGAACAGCCGCACGACCATCATCATCGCGCTGCCCCCTACGAGGCCGCGCTTCAATAATTCAAATTGGATAACGTTGGATAATATGTGCAAGCCTGTTTCGCAAGGAAAGCAAAAGTTGCCTACTAGTGTTGATCAAGTGTCTTTAGATCCCCAATTTGGAGCATGCATCAGTTGAGTTCAACATTTGTTTCTCACTATACTGAAGTGGGTATGGCTCAAATTTGGAAGATCATGGAAGATTTTTGGATTTGGAAGATCTTTTGCTGCAATCCAAACAGGACCCATATTTGTGGCTCCCTTGTGGTCCCTGGCGGTCTCAAACTTTGATCCACGCGGAGCCGTTCAGGGCAGCCCTGGGTGAAACGCTGCACTCCTTGCAGCTCAGTTCACGTTTGAACTCCATCGCGTCCGGGGGCCTGGGTAGGGCATAAATGGACATAATATGTCTCACATCGTAGTGAAAAATGTGCGAACAATGTGCGACAAATGACAAGCCATGAATCAACAGGTGCTGATATGGCCTCATATAACGAAGAAAGGCGGAACTGTTTAGTGAAAGGAAATCCGAACAAGGTCGCTTGTTGGAGATTTTCTGGTCCTTTGGTGGATTTGATGAAACAATTCCGGCATTGAAAAGATGGAGATTGAGAAGTGAACTTGATAGAACCCGTATCCTGCAGCCATCAACATGACCTCACAGGTCATATGCTCCACTTGCACTCGGGGCTCATCTTCTCTTTTTTCCTACAGAGAATATAATTTCATTCTCTCTCACAGACCCAAGAGAGATTTGATCGCCATCATATGATTACTGCATGAACAACAAACATCAACAAACAAATTCAACTCTTCCAAACATTCCTCCCAGAATTGGTGTGAATTTCTGCAGGAACCTCCATATCCAGTTGTAAAAAACACAGCTTCTCAGCTGTGGATTTTTCCCCATCAACCCACTGGAAGTGTATCCAAGGGCTCAGCGCATGTACGTGCCCTGGTCTGGACACCAGCGTGGAGTAGAGGAGACCACTTAGGTCTGTCTGTAGATCGCTGCAGCAATTTCATTCGCTTTTTGGTAATTTTTGGGGTTTTTGATTTTCTTATTGTTTTAGAATGTTTTAGACATTATTACTATACTAGTTTTACTATGTTTTACTATTATTCTATTATCATGGAAAGTCTAATCATTGTTACGACTATTGTCATCATATGGTCATCATTTTGTAAAACGCTCTGCCAAACATCGGAGTTTATCACAAAGTCTCATGGCTCACAGAATTGGACAGATGCGCTGACTGAAAAGGTGCACTAGAAGCGATAGTTTGTGTCATGGGCTATTTTGTCTAGACTCGCAACATCTAGAAGTATGCTACAGTACAAAACAGTAATAAACAGTATATGGATATAAGATGATATACTGTAATATGTATATAGTGTGTATATATATATGTATACAATAATATATATATATATATACACCCACTGATATATATATATATATATATATACATACATAAAGTATTAACTATATGGAGCCGCTAATCGCACTTGAAATTTGATTCGCAATTTGGTCCTTACATTATGTGTTTCCTGTGGGATATGACCTGGATATACCTAGATCGTTTCTGGCAGGAGGATGACTCTCTGCTTGCTCGACAAGAAGCTGGAGAGCGCAGATGTACAGTTGATTCAAATCAAGAAATGCCGAGAACCTGCAATACAAACATGTTCTTGGGATTGTTTGCGAAGTGCCCTTGGTGTTTTTGATGCGGTTTGGTGAGATTCAACTGGAGAAAAGGTGTCTGATTCCCTTGACGTCAAGACTTCTTGGCTCAAGCTGTAAGGAGTTGACAAACCAACTCCATTCCCACACAAATTCCCTCATGTTTCGCCCAATGTCTTGCCATTTGAATGCGCGAAGCAGCCTGAAACGCCGAACCTGGCGTCTATCAAAGGCTCCGCTGTGCGGCTTGCTGCTGGCCTGCTTGGCCATCCGCTTGGCGACAGCATTCGTACCGCACAGTGTTCTCATGCCACAATCCATGCGAGCTGCGAGTCAGCTTGCAGCCAAGAGGTCAAAGTCCAAGTCCCCAAAGCCCAAGCGCCCACCTTCGGGCAAAGGCTTCACGGTGACAATGGAACCAAAAGCAGAAGCCAAGGCGAAAACGGTGAAAAATGTGAAAAGCAAGGCACCAAAACAGAACAAGGTGCCAGTCCAAGGAAAGGTACCAGAACCAGTGCCGAAGACAGAAGAAGTTGATGTGGAAGTTGTTGATCCCAATGAGTCAGAGGAAGATCGAGAATTCCGAGAGCGCTACCTCTCTGCAGACAAGGAGATTCAGCCAGATTGGAAGCAGCAGATGGATGCTGCGAAGACCAAAGAGGATCGCTTCAAAGTTGGCCTGCAAGTTGGTGACTTCAAGACCAGCTATGGCATCCTGGCTGAGGAGCTCCTTGCAAGCTTTGCAGATGGGGACAAAGAAAGGTTGGATGATTTTCTGACCAAGGTCGGGATTGCGTCATGGCAGTTGGCGCTCATCCAGTTGTTCGTCATTGGAGTGCCCTTTGCAGGAATCACATATGCAATGGGCTTCTGGAAACTGCCAGCCTAGAGCTGGTCCCGCAAACTACTTCGCTTTGCAGCTGACCCGTCAGTTGCTGCCCACAGATTGTTGGGCCTTCGTTTGCCAACAGATTGCTAACAACAGATTGCTAACAACAGATTGCTAACAACAGATTGCCAAGAGCTGTTTGATGCAGCAGTCAAAGCAACCAGCTGCATACACTGAGTGCGGAAGGGAGGAGTGCCAGCAATGGACAAATACGAGTTGTAAAATATTGCGATTTGGCAGCTTTTCGGAGTTACCATGACATGGAAGACCAGTCATGAACAATGTCTATGTACGAATCATTGTGAATTGATTGCAGATGGCATGATATCACAGCTCCAGAGAGTCCGGTCCTGCGCCATGTCCGTGTTGTTTCGTTTGACTCAGGCTGAAAGGCTTCGACTTGAAAATGTTCAGTTGCGTCAAGCCGGCGAGTGAAAAGACTGGAGGTTTACTGTAGTTTAATCCGGTGAACCCAACAGAAACTTGCAACAAATCACGTGAACAAATCACTTATTGGGTATCGTTTTAAAGACTTCACAGGAAAGATAGGAATATAGATGATTATAGATGGTCTAGTATGGGGTTTACTGCATTGGCAGATGGGACATGTTTGAGAGGTGCAAGAGTCTGGGAAAAGAGATACAGTACAATGATTACTTGTACAATGTACCTTCTCTTGTTGTGAAGCTTGTGAAGCTTGACAATGGTGCCTTGTTGAGAGAGAGAGAGATGACAATTCGAGCTAGGAAACCGTATCCAACAACTGGAGGAACGTGATCAGGTGCAACGGGGTGTGTTGCATTGGCTGCAGTGGGAAGATGCCAAAACATCTGACGGGCTGGAAGCAACAGATCCTATGGGACCACAGGTCCTGCCACAGGTCATTCGAGCAAGTTCCATGCAGTCCTCTCCTCACCTCTCCCTAGTGTGTCCTGATGGAGCTCATTTGTGTTATGCTCTCCCTTGTTGGTATTCGCATGTGGTTTCTTTGCAGAAAGACATGCAAAACACATCAGATTGCCTTCTCATGCAGCAGTGCTACTAAACACATGAAATTCTATGAATTACTGTAGATCAACAGAATTGAATAGATACGCAAATGCAGGTAAAGCATGGTAAGTATGTACATATATACACAATATCGATACAATCATACAATCATGTTCATAGCTACAGAAAAACACTATGGCGACCCGCCAGACCCCGAAACAGGAGAGGGACCTGGAGCTGCAGCAGCTGCGACAGCAGATCCAGGCGACTGCCCTGCAGGGCAAACGGTGTAAAGCATGGTTAATGAACGATGAATGGATGATGACGGGAAAGATCAGATTGATAATCAACCAACTTTAAGTTGCTGCGGCTTGCTGCGCATGCATCATGCTTTTGCAGCAAGCTGTAGCCCTGTGTCAGCTGCAATCGAGACCCAACTCCACATCAACTGCCACACCGAGTAGATGCTGCAGTATGTTTCTGTTTTATGTTTCACATTGTCTTCTGTAGTTTGTTGAGTCCTTTTACGTTTTTCTTCGGTTTATTTTTCTTGTCATTGTCTTCATGTTCTCAAGACAGAGTCTAGACCATGCACACACACACACACGCACATAACAGTCAGCGCATCCGTTTGTCTACAAATCAAGCCGTGCTCATGTCCATCCGTTTGTGAATCCACATGCCCAGTCACCTTTTTGCGCCTATCCGTCCCAATTTATATACTGAATATAATGAGATTAGCATCAATCATGATGAATTCCCCAGAAGATTCCCCGCAAACAAAACATCATTGCTTTTCAATTCTTCCAGGTTCAGCCCTGCAGCACAGAAACTTGTTGGAGGCTGGCAGTTGAGGAATCTAATATTCAGTTGAACAACTGCTGCTCATGAGAATTAAAACCCAAATCTGATAGAAGGGTAGCCGATGTGTGTGAAGTCAAATGTCATCGTTGTCATCGTCATCGTCATCGTCTTCGTCACCGTCACCACCACCACCATCACCATCACCATCACCATCACCATCATCATCATCATCATCATCATCATCACGACTATGAAACATCATGCACCAGTTTGCATTCGGTTTGGGAGGCCTCAGTAGGTTCGGTTTCCCTGATTACAACCTCAACTCAAGTTGTGAAACCAAGACTCTTTGGAGTCAGCCTGGCTCCAGGTCCACATCTCCGCCAAGTCCGGTACTCGAGGCGCACGCTGGACTCCAAACATGTCAAGTATCCAAAAAGACGACCGCATTTGAGAAGCCAGGATCGGCCGTGCAGAACGTGTGCCATTCATATTTTTTCGATTGAGGCATAAATTGTGGCTAGTTTCAATTGATTTCATGCATTCCCTTGATCACAAATAGATATAAGAATGATATCTACGGCAGGCTGACTCTTCGGCTGAACAAAGTCGAGAAATCTCTGAGTGCCAGGCAGGGGCCGCGGACAGGGACAATGCAGCGAGGGAAGATTCTTTTGAATCGATTGCACAGACGGGTCCATTACGGCAACGGTTTGACTGGGTCAAGCTCCACAACTTTCTGTAGAAAGAACATAAGGAGATAATAGGAAGTAATGGGGAGAAATTTGGAAGAAAATAGAGAGAAAATCGTGAGAACAAGGGAGAACCTGTGGATAAAATAGGGATAAAGGATAAACTAGGGAGATAATAGGGAGAAACGAGGGAGATGCAATAGAGAAAATAAGGAGACACTATGCAGAAAATAAGGAGAACATAGGCAGACAATGTGGAGAAGATACAGAGAAAATAGGGAGAACGAACATAGCGAGACAATTTTGCAGAAAAGACGGAGATAATAGGGAGAACAGAACATAGGAAGACAATAAGGAGAACATAGGGAGATACTAGGGAGAAAGAATAATCCAATAAAGACAGGGAACTGCCAGAGGTTGATTGTCGTGCCGTGCAAGTTTTGTACAAAGTGCTACTGCTATGGGTAGATACAGAGCTTTCCGATAGCTGTTTTTGAAAACCCGCACGATTACATGTCAGGAAGATGCAGATATCCGCCTGTCATACGGCAGAGCTCTTTTCCCAAAGTGCTTATGCAGGTCAGGGAAGTGTCTCCAATTCCAGCTGATGAGTTTGGCCCCTAGACTCTTGACACAACCAAAATCTGAAACCATTCTCGTTCTACTATGTTCTACCATGTTTTACCATGTTCTAGCATTGTCTTGATTTTGGTAGCAACACATGCATATGCCCAGGGCCTCAGGGGATGCAGTACTGCAGAAACGGCCATCAAATTGCAAACTGAACGACAGTGTCCTGGTGCCTCGGCATCAGGTTGCAACCAGTGCAACCAGAGCCTGAGCCGGAAATCCAAGTTGTCAACCCAATCGAACAGTGCTAGGCCGCAGCGAATCGCTTCCTTGTGCCTGTAGCAAAAAAATGCACTTTATCACCATCCTCCTAAAATCTAAGGAACCCCCGACATGTATCAAAATGCAAATTTCCAATGCAAATTTCAATCTTTGATTAAATCTGTGGAACCACCTTTTTGGAGTTCCATGGTATTATTCAGGGGGAGAGAGAGAGAGAGATTTATAATATATATATATATAATTATATATATATATATATCCATTGTGGCCCATGGCAATTCAACTGGTCCTAGGATCGAGGCAGCTGCAAGGGCCTTGGATTTTTCAACGCACTTCTCAGATGGCGTGGAGACCCAGCTCGCCTGCTTGTCTGGTCATTTTCCGCAGCAAAACCTGCCAAAGCAACCGATTCAACTTTGACTAGTTAGTGGACAACTGGAACCTGCCAGTCCTGTAAGGCCATTACCTGTTCAGGGTCACACGGATTTTTTCTTTGCTCCAGGTTTTTTCAGCTGACAGTTGGAAACAAACCGACATATCCAATCTGGTGTGCTAAACACCATGAAGTGATGTGAAACGACAATTCAGGATTGGGAAGGCCCCCGACAACTTTACTGCACCCTTGACAACTGAAAGATAAAATCAGCCATGCTGCTTGCTGCTTGCTGCCTGCTGAGGTATTTTCGAATCTTCGTTTGGAAACTCAGCCAAAAACAACTGAAAACAGTGCATCGTTTGATTCTTGATGACCTCCTGAGGCCACAGCTGAAAGGCCTGGGGCTCTCTGTTCTGTATTCGCTACACCTCTGCACAGATTGAAATCCACTCTTCAGCACTTCAGCACCGTGCATCCTGAGCTATTAGTAGGGTTTCTTTCTCGGTTTCAATATCCATCAATTCATTGTTGAAGGAAACCAGCAATGTGTAGCATCTATATATGCCGATTGTCGATAGAAGGGTATTCGCCAACCCACACATACTATTGTAGCTATATAATGTTCTGTACACAGTGTGTATACGCAGCGTATAAAGTGCAACTGCAACTAGTCTATTCATGTCTATTCCTTGAATTCGCGCGAGCTCTTGAAGAACTTACAGCCCACAAGAGGTGATTTATATCGATTTATACTGTATACTGCTCGTCACATCTCATCACAAGTCTCAATGGCGCGATCTATAAGGAGCCCGCATCCGACATTCTTTTCAGCCTTGTTCGCAGGTGTCCAGAGCGTTCAAGATCAGCAACCCTTTGCAGAACAGCGTGCGGAACACGAGACCTCCGGTGGGGTCTCCCAAGACTGTTGATGAGGCAGTCAATCTTCCGCTATGCACCAGAGTGGGGTAGGATGGACAGGTCAACAGGTCATAATAGGTGCATATTTGAACATGTTTGAACTTTGAACATGTCCAATCGTTTTTCGTGGAGACATCGCAGTTTAGACGACTTAATTTGGCGGGAAGGAACGCAGAACAGCCCTATTCAGTGTCAATTTTCAGGGGTCTCAAAAGTTGCTAGCTTGCCATCGGATGGGCATTGACCAAGCATAATTAAAGTGTAGCAGCTGACGTAGGCACAACAAATGAGAGACAATGAAAGGGGATCTGAAGTTTGCATATTTGGAGAAGAAGACATTGTCGCTGACCTTTCCTGCAGTCTCAGTCCATTCACAAGCTGCTCAATACATTCTAGATTTAGATCAGAATCTTGATTCGGATGAATATGTTTGAATCCCAGCTTCAACCCCATCATAATCCCCATCATCATACAGCGCACTCTCTCATAACTCCACTCCATCACGTGGCGGCGCGATGTCGGATGTGGCGACTGCCGTCAATGAAGACTTACTGTCATGGGGTGCCTGCCTGAGCGCGCCAGCGACATGAGCGTCGAACATGAGCACTTAAGCACACTTAAGAACTTTCGCCGAAAAACAGTACTTTGTAGCACGATTATAGCACGTGCAAGGGTGAAGCCTGGATTCAGTTTGAGGAAGTGAAACCGAATCACACATATTTTTGCTTTGCGTAATGTTAGTCATTGTTAGTCAGACTAGTCCTTGCTCTCGACAGACTTTGTGGATTTGTATTTTATCCAGACAGTTCAACATCAGCGAAGCATACGTGCTGCATTATATATAAATGTAATAGTGTCAGGCTATGGGAAGGGGAGCCTAGGCAGACAACAATATGCAGGCACAAACTGCGATGCTTCAGCATTTCTGCATACCGAGACTTCAATTTCAAGATTTTATTATGTTTTGTTTTTGCCCAACACGAGCTTGTGGAAGGATGCAGATTTGACTACTAATTTTGACGAGCTTCACTGTCACCTCTTCTTATTAATCATAGGTCTGAGACTATTTGAGTTGCCGCAACAGGTGTCAGTGGTACTTCTGATTTTTCCCCAGATAGCTGGCAAGCTATAGGGGTTCTTACTTCTCAAAGGTGGGGTCTTCGGTGGCGAACTTTTGAGCAGGGTGCTGTGCAGGGTGCTGTGCAGGGTGCTGTGCAGGGTGCAGTCCAGACTGCGGTGGCGATGTCTGGCAAAGGTGCTGTGCAGGGTGCTGTGCAGGGTGCAGTCCAGACTGCGGTGGCGAAGTCTGGCAAAGGTGCTGTGCAGGGTGCTGTGCAGGGTGCTGTCTAGACTGCGGTGGCGAAATCTGGCAAAGGTGCTGTGCAGGGTGCTGTCCAGACTGCGGTGGCGAAGTTTGGCAAAGGTGCTGTGCACGGTGCTGTGCAGGGTGCTGTCCAGATTGCGGTGGCGAAGTTTGGCAAAGGTGCTGTGCACGGTGCTGTGCAGGGTGCTGTCCAGACTGCGGTGGCGAAGTCTGGCAAAGGTGCTGTGCAGGGTGCTGTGCAGGGTGCTGTGCAGGGTGCTGTGCAGGGTGCTGTGCAGGGGGCTGTCCAGACTGCGGTGGCGAAGTCTGGCAAAGGTGCTGTGCAGGGTGCTGTGCAGGGTGTTGTCCAGACTGCGGTGGCGAAGTCTGGCAAAGGTGCTGTGCAGGGTGCTGTGCAGGGGGCTGTCCAGACTGCGGTGGCGAAGTCTAGCAAAGGTGCTGTGCAGGGTGCTGTGCAGGGTGCTGTGCAGGGTGCTGTGCAGGGTGCTGTCAGACTGCGGTGGCCAAGTCTGGCAAAGGTGCTGTGCAGGGTGCTGTGCAGGGTGTTGTCCAGACTGCGGTGGCGATGTCTGGCAAAGGTGCTGTGCAGGGTGCTGTGCAGAGTGCTGTTCAGACTGCAGTGGCGAAGTCTGGCAAAGGTGCTGTGCAGGGTGCTGTGCAGGGTGCTGTCTAGACTGCGGTGGCGAAGTCTGGCAAAGGTGCTGTGCAGGGTGCTGTGCAGGGTGCTGTGCAGGGTGCTGTGCAGGGTGCTGTGCAGGGTGCTGTCAAGACTGCGGTGGCGAAGTCTGGCCAAGGTGCTGTGTAGGCTGCTGTGCAGGGTGCTGTCCAGATTGCGGTGCCGAAGTCTGGCAAAGGCGCTGTGCAGGGTGCTGTGCAGGGTGCTGTGCAGGGTCTGAGCCAAGGCGCTTTTTCGTTGCCGCATATCATTTTGACATGCGCATTTTCGTGCAAAAACATTTTTATGCCGGCCCATCAGCCAAACGCAAACATTCCGCTACCGGTCCATTAAGCAAAACAAAAGGTTCTGTTACCGGCTCAGTAAACAAAACAAAACAACATTAAGAACCATGAGGTCTAACTTTTTGCAATCAACAGATCCTTCCACTGGCAACGTTACTTTTTCAGGCTTGGAACCATGAGTTTCAAGCTTTGGGAACCAGCAGTTCCTTACAATGATAGCCGCTTAGCTTCGAAAACATAAATTCTAACTTCTGGGAACCGGCAATTCCTTGCAATGGTAACCTCTGGTTCCCAGGTTGGGAACCGTAAGTTTCAAGGTCTGGAAACCGGCAGTTCCTTGCCATGGTAACCTTTGGTTCCCACGTTGGGAACCACCAGTTCCAACCTTCAGGAATTGGAAGTTCTTTGCAATGGTAACCTATGGTTCCCAGGTTGGGAAGCATGAGTTCCAACCTCTGGGAACCGGCAGTTGCTTGCAATGGTAACCTCTGGTTCCCAGGTTGGGAACCAGGAGTTCCAACCTCTGGGAACCGGCAGTTCCTTGCAATGGCAACCTGTGGTTCCCACGTTGGCAACCGTGAGTTCCAACCTTTGGGAACCGGCAGTTCCTTGCCATGAACCAAACGCAAACATTCCGGTACCTGTCCATTAAGCAAAACAAAGCGTTCTGTACCGGTCCATTAAGCAAAACCATGAAGTTGTAAAGAAAATGTTTTCATATCAGTTTGACATGCACCTGTTTCGTGCAAAAACATTTTTATGCCGGCCCATCAACCAAACGCAAACATTCCGCTACCGGTCCATTAAGCAAAACAAAAGGTTCTGTTACCGGCTCAGTAAATAAAACAAAACAACATTAAGAACAATGAGTTTTAACTTTTTGGAATCAACAGATCCTTCCACTGGTAACGTATGCTTTTTCAGGTTTGGAACCATGAGTTTCAAGCTTTGGGAACCCGCAGTTCCTTACAATGATGGCCGCTTAGCTTAGAAAACATAAATTCTAACTTCTGGGAACCGGCAATTCCTTGCAATGGTAACCTCTGGTTCCCAGGTTGGGAACCGCAAGTTTCAACGTCTGGGAACCGGCAGTTCCTTGCCATGGTAACCTTTGGTTCCCACGTTGGGAACCATCAGTTCTAACCTTTAGGAACTGGAAGTTCTTTGCAATGGCAACCTATGGTTCCCAGGTTGGGAAGCATGAGTTCCAACCTCTGGTAACCGGCAGTTGCTTGCAATGGTAACCTCTGGTTCCCAGGTTGGGAACCAGGAGTTCCAACCTGTGGGAACCGGCAGTTCCTTGCAATGGTAACCTGTGGTTCCCACGTTGGCAACCGTGAGTTCCAACCTTTGGGAACCGGCAGTTCCTTGCCATGAACCAAACGCAAACATTCCGGTACCGGTCCATTAATCAAAACAAAGCGTTCTGTACCGGTCCATTAAGCAAAACCATAAAGTTGTAAAGAAAACGTCTTCATATCATTTTAACATACACCTTTTCGTGCAAAAACATTTTTTTGCCGGCCCAGCAGCCAAACACAAACATTCCGATACCGGTCCATTAAGCAAAACAAAAGGTTTTGTTACCGGCTCAGTAAACAAAACAAAACAACATTAAGAACCATGAGTTTTAACTTTTTGGAATCAACAGATCCTTCCACTGGTAACGTATGCTTTTTCAGGTTTGGAACCATGAGTTTCAAGCTTTGGGAACCCGCAGTTCCTTACAATGATAGCCCTTAGCTTCGAACACATAGAGTTCTAACCTCTGGGAACCGTCAATTCGTTGCAATGGTAACCTTTGGTTCCCACGTTGGGAACCATGAGTTCCAACCTTTAGGAGCCGGAAGTTCTTTGCAATGGTTACCTGTGGTTCCCAGGTTGGGAAGCATGAGTTCCAACCTCTGGTAACCGGCAGTTGCTTGCAAAGGTAGCCTCTGGTTCCCAGGTTGGGAAGCATGAGTTCTAACCTGTGGGAACCGGCAGTTCCTTGCAATGGTAACCTGTGGTTCCCACGTTGGCAACCGTGAGTTCCAACCTTTTGAAACCGGCACTTCCTTGCCATGAACCAAACGCAAACATTCCGGTACCGGCCCATTAAGCAAAACAAAGCGTTCTGTACCGGTCCATTAAGCAAAACCATAAAGTTGTAAAGAAAATGTCTTCATATCATTTTAACATGCACCTGTTTCGTGCAAAAACATTTTTTTGCCGGCCCATCAGCCAAACGCAAACATTCCGCTACCGGTCCATTAAGCAAAACAAAAGGTTCTGTTACCAGCTCAGTAAATAAAACAAAACAACATTAAGAACCATGAGTTCTAACTTTTTGGAATCAACAGATCCTTCCACTGGTAACGTATGCTTTTTCAGATTTGGAACCATGAGTTTCAAGCTTTGGGAACCCGCAGTTCCTTACAATGATAGCCGCTTAGCTTCGAAACATAAGTTCTAACCTCTGAGAACCGGCAATTCCTGGCAATGGTAGCCTCTGCTCTTAGGTTGGGAACCGTAAGTTTCAACGTCTGGGAACCGGCAGTTCCTTGCCATGGTAACCTTTGGTTCCCACGTTGGGAACCATCAGTTCCAACCTTTAGGAACTAGAAGTTCTTTGCAATGGTAACCTATGGTTCCCAGGTTGGGAAGCATGAGTTCCAACCTCTAGTAACCGGCAGTTGCTTGCAATGGTAACCCATGGTTCCCAGGTTGGGAACCAGGAGTTCCAAC